GGCGGCCAGGGGAAATGGGAGGGCTGTTTTGAGGTGGATGGAAGGAAGGTGAATATGAAAACGAGTGAGAAGATAACAAAAAAAATCTAACCACGAATCGAGGACTCTTCCAACGATTGGTGGGCCTTGCGAATTGCTCCACGTGAGCTCTCCTCCTTCTCAAGCACTCATGCAAGACGAAGTAGAAATAAAACACAAATTTCATTCAATTCTTCATTAAGCTCAAAATGATACAAGAGACCACTATATATAGGTCTTGACTCATAAAAGTGAAAAAGACTAAATTGCCCTCTGGGCTACAAAGAAACATAACTCCCCACAGGGGTAAAATGGGAAACAGTAAATCAAAATAGACAATAATAAAATACATCATGTCATCTCAATCAAAAGTAGAGGCGCTGAATCGTGGCCGTCGATCTGCGGTTTCGCCGGCGATAAACATGTCGGTAGCGTCTGTCGATGTCCTCATCACATTTACCTTTGGGAAACCTTAACTACTAAAAATTCTACCAACCCTGTTTTGATCAACAAAATTCATCGAACTAAATTCTATGGCTTTCAGTGTTGGTCAGTTATAGCAGCATTCGCCAAATTTTACCATCCCATTTAAACAAAAATTTACACCTAAAAAAACTTGGAAGGATGGAATCTTTGTTGCATAAAAAATGGCGACATAAACAAATTTGATTTTGGCGCTGATTTTAGGACTTCTGGAGCCAGGCTGGCATTCTAGTTGCTCGGTAACAAATATCTCAATCATAAATTTACTCAGCTCTCAAGTTTTTTTTTTTTTTTGAGATCTTTATTGAGTTCTTTTAGGCCTTATCAATTTTGTACCGCTTTCTCTTGTTAGCATTCAATCTTCTTGTGACTCTTTTTGACAATATTGTAAATCTTTTGATAGTCGCTTCTCAGCTTTCAAGTCCTCTTGACATAGCTTCTATGTGCCTTCCCGAATTATTGATCTTCTAAATATTAGTTGCTTTAGTCTTATTATGATCTAAAAATAAGACATAACTTGAAAAGTTCAAACATTAAAGGCAAGCAACATTAAAACATGGTTTTAAACTTGGTTTTTAATTAGTTTCGCTCAAATCATAGTAGTTTTGATTTTATTTGTTTTAGCAATTTCAAGGGTTTCAGTGTTTGGTTTTATTTCTTAGTTTTTATCATTTTTTACAAAATATTAAATATTATTGAACTAATTTCTTCAGAGTTTTTTATTCAATTATAGAGTATAAGTGTAACATTTTTTTGGATAAGTTTTCAGCAGTTTTGGTTGGGTTACGACAATTTCTATCATTTCCACGGTTTCAATGGTTTTGGTGGTTTCCACCTAGTTTTGATGACTTCGGGTTGAAATTCACTGAAACTTATCGGTGCTGTTGCAAACCAAAATTTATTAGTTTTGACAGCTTAAGATTGGTTTCGACTAAATGTAAAGACATCATTTGAAGGAACGAAAGAAGTGCTCGCTGTAGCTCCTGGGGTTAAAACTATTCACCATTTTCTTCGGGAGAACAAGGATTCATAAGGTAAACTCTAAATAATGCAGATAAAGTTAATAGTGATGCTCCACAAAATTTTTATTATATATTTACTGATACAATACTGCTAATAATAACAATAAATTTTAACCAAGACCTTAACAAATTTGTCAAATGAATGAATGTTTGAGCCATTTATGGCTGTCCCCTTTTGTTCTCTTAAATGCTACATATTTCCCTCTAGATAGCTTTTCTTTTAATATATATAAGTTTCTCTTAACCCAAAATTTGTAGATGCGAACATGAACATCTCACTCTGGTTTTGATAGGTACAACTATATGAGACGTTTTATTGCTTGCACCTGCATATAGTTGTCATCGTTGATGTTGTTTGTATGATGCTGGAGGCTTGTAATCTATGCCATTTGAGTTAATTTCAATTTTATATGTTGAAAATTCTAGAAGTTGCCTCCAAATTGAATCCATGCTGAACTTATGATTGTTCGTGGCTTGGTGCTTAGGTAAGACTTGATGAATTTCAGTGAAGATCCAAGTACATGAATGCTTAATTTATTGACTCGAATTCAATCTCTCCAATTTCAAGAAGTGCAATGTATCTTTGTTTCAAATTACAATGTTTATACTCGTCAGAAATGCATGACTTGTGAGTTGAGTAGAGCAAATTGTCATTTTGAGCATTAGTTTTACTTCAGTTGATTTTTTAGTTCTCTAGGCTTTGGGAATTTCATTTAGTTTCCTAATGTAGTCAATCCAATGATGATGCCTATGAGAACATGTTGTGTACTTTATTTTGTGGGTTTGATTGGGTTGGTTAACTTATACTTGATTTCTGTGAATCTTCTATTACTCGTTTAGTTGCTGCTTTGGCCCTTGGTGAATGTTTTGGTCCTTGATTCCTATTTTTTTCCTTGATTTGAGTACTCGGCGAGCTGTGATATTTGACCTTATCCAATCTATCCCTGCGATCTTGAGTGATGGAATTTCCCATCTCCGGTGGTTATTGAGTTTGAGTTCAGATGCTGGTGATTTTGATTGTGAATGTGAGCTATCCATGATTAATAATATGGGCTCTGAGGGATGCAAAAGTTCAGTCTAATGAGTTTTTTATTTTCTTTTTTTGTTTCCTCTTTATTCTGGAGTGTTGGTTGGATGCGAGCCTTTCTGATTCTGAGAAGCGGCGACTATCAAATTCTGAGAAGCTATTTGCTTATACCGACTGAGTAAAAAATAATTACTTTGGTCTTTTTTAATCTTTTATATTCTTACAATTTAGTTATTGGTTTGCTTGAGTGATTTGGTTTGGTTAAAATTAGAATCATTTTTTTGTGGTATGATTTCCTATTAACATTTGATTTACATTGTCTGGGATTTCAATACAATATTTCTATTCAACGGTTACTAAGATATCGATCGTTTGAATTTTATATTTTTATGACTTTTATGATTAGAGATGAATATTTGTTGAAATTGATGATCTATGAATTGAGAATTTGACATTGTATGCGTAATTTTGAGCACTTCTCCTATTCTAATACTGAACTTTACTAATCATTGTTTTTTGAATCTTAAATTTTGCACATGCTGTATTAATAATACTTTACCTGCAGTTCTATTCAATGACAATTTGGATTGAAACTATTTTATGTCATAGTTTACTCTATCAAAGGTGGATAATTCTTTAGCTTGGGTGATCTGGTGTCTTGCTGTTAATTCCTTTGCTGTTCTATTCTATGCTCTAGTGCATAATAAGGGATATAAATGGTGCTACATCGCTCCAAGATTGCATTTTTGATCGTTCCTGTGTCAAACTTTCTTTTTAGAGCTTTGTTTTTATTTCTTCTTTCTTCAGGCTTTCAACATGGACGGCAGGAGATTCATTGAAAGTTTATTTTCCAGTCAGCGGTCTTATCCCATCACGCAAGTGATTATGAATTTGCCTAACGATGCTGTAGAGTTCCTTGGTTTGTCTTCCTCTTTCAAAATAGGAATTTCTATTTACTTATTTACCTGATTGTGTTGCGTCGTTATTATCTGATACGAAGTGGTTGAACTTTCAGCAAAATTAGTGAACGAAAAAGAGAAATGCAAGATACAATTGGATCTTCAATTGGAGAGGAACATCTGTCTCTCCCAAATCTTTAGCCACTAGCTAGAGCTCTCTCAACCTAGGTGAACTTCAAAAACAACAAACAAGACATCAGGAAAAAAATGAACCCTAGGAAAAAATATAATTAAAATATACAATAGAAAAATCCCAAAACAACCCATTGCTTTTCCCTCATAGTTGGCCCCTCCATATTCAAAATATGCTCCCTAGGCCCCCTTCAAAGGGGCATAACTCCCCCCTGTCCGCTTGGCTTATTCCGTCTAGCATAAACTTTGGCCGGTCCAGGGTGGACCGGCCCTTCTATGACTGGTCCAGGAGGGACCGATCTATCAATACTCCTCTCCCAAATACCCACATAGTCCTCAAGGTGGAAAGATGTAAACTACTACTGCACTCTCTCGTAATGCTTCCATGTGCAGGCAAGAGCTACAGAACTGAAATTTAACCACAAGAGCTACATAACTGAGATTCACTCCCACAGGTTCTTCAATTTTATTAGCACTTCCTTGCTCTCTTCCTCTCTCCGTCGCACCCCTTTCAGCTCTAATGGTTCCAACAACACCTTCAAATCTTCTGTTAATATCACGAGTAACTCTGAACTTGATGTATAATCCCTGATAGTTCTCCTCCACTTTGACACATGAAACATTGGATGTATAGTAGCGGTCGTAGGTAACCTCATCGATAAGTCACTGCTCCAATCATCTCCAATATCTCATAAGGACCAAAATATATCGGGGCCAGCTTCTCATTCCTTATGTGAGTTGTCTATAAGGACAAAGCTTCAAGCATACCCTATCCCCTATCTCAAACTAGATGTCCTTCCTGCATCTATTCGCATGTTTCTTCATCATTTGTTGAGCCCTCAACAAATGCCTTTTTAAGTCAGCCAGCGCCCTATTCTTCTCCTTCAAATACTTTTTTACTAACTAGATTAGTGTACTATTTTGCCCAAAGTGCATCAAGTAAGGTGGGTCTCTTATGTACAATACTTTGAAAGGAGAAATATGTGAAACTGAATGATATTAAGCGTTGTACTAGTACTCCGCCCATACCAACCACTTGGCCCACAGTTGAGGTGTCTCAACTCAACCCGATCAGGATAGATCCTATTGTGTTGAGCTGTGACAGATAAATCCTAAGGTCTAATTTTGAAATTATTTCAGGATTTCTACCATTATTCATTGAAATAAACTACAGACTATACAAAACTACTAAAATATCCAAATATTAAAAATAAACTCATCCATTAGGTTTCTTTCATTTCATCAAAATAAATATCTACACTACAGTACATGGGCTATAGACAAGAGTTACAGAACTAAAATTTAACTAACCATGATTGTACAAAAATTAAAATAGCAAAATACCTATAACCTCAGATTTGATCATGAATTGATAGTCCACAATCACCTTCCCTTTCCTAGTTCTTGAAAAATTAAAAGCAAAACCACAATAAGTTATAACAGCTCAGCAGACCACACAAACCAATTTAAATTTTCAAATTTTATTTATAAAATATTTTGTTGAATATTTAAAAGTAGTTAAATGCAGTTTAAATAAATTATTATATTGAGAGATGTAATAAATGCATTATAGTTATTCTCTGATTTAAATAATAATATTGCATAAATAAATAAAATAAATTGAAATTCATATCACAAAGCAATTCATATCACAAAGCAATTCATATCACAAAGCAATTCATATCACATTTTCTGTACCTAGATAGAATCTTAAAAGATTTTGGCCCATTATGACTCCGTTTTTGTTTGTGCTTATAGCACCAGAAGATATCACACAATCATGTCTCAAATATAATTTCAAGGGATTTTGGCTCCTTATAGCTCCCAGCCTCCCATCAATCCTCTGACACAGAATCTCAGCGTATTTTGGCCCCTTATAGCTCCTAACTGATATAATTTAATTACATGTGCATATATATCATCACATTATGACAATTAAAGAGTAATTGGACATATATCAAAATTGCATAGTATTGTACAATGGTAGACAACAAAAAATCCTACTAGTAAAAAATGCACACTTTCAAAAAATTACCAAATTATCAGTTATTGTGTAAAATAATATTTTAAGACTTTTATTGTACCATACAAATATTTTTTAATATCCAAATTTAAAAAATTCCATTGTAAAATTTTCAGAAAATATTCAAAATTTACAATCGTAATCTCTATAATATATAAAAAATTATCTGGTGAAAGTTTTATTAGTGCAAAGTTATCCACATTTTTATCTAACGAAAATGAAATTTTAATCGAAAAATAGTTAAAAATTGAGTATTTTTTAAAATTAAGATGGACATAATGTGACTTGCCTCGAGACAAACAAGTTTCCCAACTTGGCAGATGGACGAAAACGACACAAGGTTGCCCAAAACCAGGGTTTTCTTTTTCTCTCATTCCTTTCTTTCATAAAATCCTAAATAACTCTTCTTTTGGCAAAACCGAAATGGCATAAGAAAAATGGCATTTAATAATGTTCAATTGCTTTTGGATTTATTATTATTATTAAATAATATATAATAATATTATTATAATTAATTTTTGAATGGAAAATTCTTAGAATTTTTTTAGCGATTCCAAAAATTACTAAAAAATATTAATAAATTAGCTCATTTTATTTAAATTTTTTTTGTGAAATCGATTTCTTAAGAAATTTCAACAGTGCTTAAAAATTATGAAAAAAATATGGTAATTAAAGCGCTACACTATAAATGTTCTGGTAAACATGGTTTGTGATTCAGAGTTATAATGACTCATAAATTAATTTTTGATAATTCTAGATTTTTTTTTGAAATTTCAAGGGTTTTACATGAGGTATCTTAGAGGCAAAACATCACAGGCACGTCTTAAGTTTTTTGTTTATCACCTCCGTCTGCTCGTCTTTTTTTGAGTGGTAGGCAGTGCTCCTCTTTAATACTGTCTCCTATATCCTGAATAACTCCCTTAAAAAAGGCCCGAGGAACACCTTATCTCTGTCCAACGCTTATACTCTGGTATCCCATGCAATCTAACCACCTCTCTGATGAATTCCACAGCTACTGTTATTGCCATGTACGCATGTCGTAGGAGAATGAAATGAGCATACTTTCTTAATATGTCCATTACTATTGATGTAGGCAAAGGGGGGGGGGGTCAAATCAAACCCAAAAATATTTGGTTTTGACTTCCCTTGGGCTTACTAGCTCAATAAATTTTGAGTTGGAATTTAGCTCATTTATGAGATGGTTTTTAGTTCATTCATTAAACTAAATGTTAGCTTATTATTAGCTAAGTTTTAGTTCATTAGTTATCTTAATTATGTAATTTTTATTTATAGTTTTTATATCTTAAATTTTAGTTTGTCCCTTAGGATTCCAAAATGGCTTTTGGAATCCCTAGGTTGGTTGTTTTCCGTGCTTGGCTCCGTGGTTCCACGGGTTGGCTGTTTCCGTGCCTTGGCTCCTTGGCTTCCTCGGTGGGCTGCTGGTTTTCCGTGCTGGGTGGCCTTTCCTGTGCCTCGGTTCAGTGTTTGGCCTCTTGGGTTTCCGCGGCTGCCTGTTTGGTTCCCTGGCTGGGCTGTTTCCCGTGAAATGATGGGGGGTTTTCCGTGGTTTGTGTTGCTTGGATTCATGTGGGAATTCAATTATGTGGCTGTTTGTATTCCCCTTTCATACTTATAAATATGAGGGGTTTTGTAATGTTTTAAAGAGAGTGATATATGAATTTTTGAAAAAGAAATCTGCGGATTTTCTTGGAAGAGCTTGCGAGCTTTGTCCACCTTCTTCTCATCTCCTCTAGGAAAGACTTGCGAGTTCTTTACACCCTTCGTCTCGGCTTCTAATCTCTTTCGTCTCTCCGCAAGTTTACACCTCACAAGTATCCTTCTTCTTTTGGAAAGCTTCTTTAGGGTGTCTTGGTTGAGTCAAGTTTGTAAGTCTTGTCTTGTTAGAGTCAAGTTTGTAAGTGTGTTTTTTATTTGAAATGTAAGAGTTTGTTATTCCATATACTTAGGTAAGTGTGTTTGCCTTTTTTTTTGAGGTGATCAAGAATTCTCTCTTGGGGTCAGCTTTCTCTTCCCTGGGAGGATTTTTGCTCGCATCAACTATCCAAAATCACTATCAACCCCTCAGATCTGGGTAACCCATATATAAATTTCATGTTGACCTCCTCCCCCACTCTATCTGGAAGAGCTAGAGATTGCATTAACCCTCTCGAAGCCATGGCTATCTATTTTCTCCTCTGGCACCCTATCTTAAACTATATGTCATTCCTGCGTCTATTCACATGTTTCTTCATCATCTGTTGATCTCTCAACAAATGCTTTTTTAAGTCAGCCATCACCCTATCCCTCTCCTCCAGATATTGCTTTACTAACGAGATTAGTGTGATACTCTTCCCAAAGTGCACCAAATGAGGTCAGTCTCTTTCGTATAATACTTTGAAAGGAGTCATCTGTGAAGTTGAATGTTATAAAGTGTTGTACTAGTACTTCGCCCATGCCAACCACTTGGCCCACAGTTGAGGTATCGCTAAGGCAAAACATCACAGGTATGTCTCAAGGTTCATGTTTATCACCTTAGTCTACTCGTTTGTTTGTGAGTGGTAAGCGGTGCTCCTCTTCAATATTGTCCCCTGTGACCTGAACAACTCCTTTTAAAAAAGCTTGAGGAACATCTTATCTTGGTTGAACACTATAGACTCTGGTATCTCAAGCAATCTGACCACTTCTCTGATGAATGTCGTTGCTACTGTTTTTGCCATGTACAAATGTTGTAGGGGAATAAAACAAGCATACTTGCTCAATCTGTCCACCACTATACAAAATCATTGTAAATCCCTCAGATTTTGG